CTATTGGGTGGGCATGGCCAATTGGGTGGGCTGCGGTGGTAATGGCAGACTGTGTGGGACTAAAAAGTTCAATCAATCAATCAATTCCAACTTTGCAAGATCTTTTTTTTCCTGCAAGAAATTGAAATTGACTGATTGAACCTTTTTTTTTTTTTTTTGCACATGGCGGCGGCGGCCTAAAGCAAAAAGGTTTTATAAAACCCAGCTGAAGGCCTAGGACTGGGGCGACGGCGTGCGTGCCCAGAGAAGGCTCTTGAGTGCCGCCTCTGGCACCCGTGCCATAGGTTCGCCACCACTGCCATAGGGCCTACCCTGCATAAACAGAGCTAGTCTTCTTATTGGAGTTTTATATATTTCCCTTCCCATATAGTTGTTGGGAACACATTAAAATACATCAATGTCATAACTCTTCTATATTGCAGTATTTTTATTTGGCCTAACAGTCTAGCTGTGCTGAAGCTGATAGACTTGACCACCAAAGTAAATCCTTTTTGGCAGATAAAGATTGTACATCTTGCCCATTTATATTTAGAATTCTCTAAGCAAAGGTCTGAAATACTTCTTAATAGAAATAGGAGGTTTGGGATTTAGAGCCAAGTGTTCACAATTCTGGATTTCTTGCATAGTTGCAAATTGATTTGAACTTCTTTCCACATAGTTTGTATCAAATAAATAGTTATTTTTCTTGCCCTTTTATTTCCTTTGAGCTTGATAAATTTGAACTCATTTGGCACCATGAGACAAACGTATTGCTGTATTTACCTGAGAGAAATAATAGTATATTTCTTCAGTTTAACATTAAAATGACAGAGACATCTTAAATTTACAGAGAATATGATAATATAATAATATAGGTATTTCTCTCCCTCCCATTGCTCTCTTTTGGATGTGTGGATTATTTTAATTTGAGAATCATCTCTTCAGTTCCAGCTAGCAAAACAAACTAGACTCAGTGGCTTGTGGCATTGATGATGGACTCTGTTGGGTTTATTGTCTGGGCTTCATTTTTACTTTACTCTGGTAGCATACAGTAGAAAGCAGATTCAATCAGGATGAAGCAGACTGGGATCTGCCTTATTTTTTTCTCTAGAAACTCAGAGATTCTTGATAGGAATTGAGTCTGAGATAATCACCCAACAGGATCAAGGAATTGATATTTCTGAACAACTGGCCCAGGCAGACAAATTTAATCTGTTTGGAATTAAGGTTCCACAAGAAACCATTTCTACTATGATCTGAACTTCATATTTCAGCAAGCTGATCTCAGGGGAAGGGAAGCTTCTATAACTTTTGAACCTTCAAGATAAAATGTTTATCGTATCAGTCTTCCTCCTCTAGGTAAACAAAACTAACCGTCAGAAGCAACAGTTTGTTCTTCTGGCAACTCTGATCACTGTTTATTCTTAGAAGACTGGTCTTCCAGTCAAATTTATATTTAAAACCCTCCTTTCTGGAAATAAATGGAATATTTCTGGGATAGCCGCATCTCTTCTGTATCAACCAATGTAGCTTAAAATCATAGAAGCTGTTGTCACTCAGACTTCTAATACTAAATCATTTATGCTATAAGGCTGTGCCATTGATATATACATATATACATATATATATATACATACATACATACATACATACATACATACATACATACATACATACAGGTCTTTAGTTATTCGGGTTTTCTCCCGCGTAGAATTAAAAGTACCTTGGCGACGTTTCGACGAAGTCACATTCGTCATCTTCAGGCTGGTGTCTTCAGCTTCGTGCTTCTAAGAGTGGTGTGTGATCGCAGCTGTTTCTTCCTTTTAACTGCCAGTGGGGTTGGAGCTGATTGGGTGGGAGCTTGGCTGTGTTCTGA